CCATTCTTTCAGTTCATAAAGAGCATCACAACTCCATACACAATGGAGGAGATGCATATGACAACTCATGCTGCCATCAGAGAGAATCCAGCCATTGAGAAGAAGCCTGAGAGAAAAGAAGAAGAGGAGGAGGAGGAAGAAGAAGAAGAAGACGACAAAGAAGTAGTGTTGGAACCATCCCCAAATGCCCCTTGCCCAGAAGAAAGATCGTGTTGCTCAAAAGAAGGCAAGCTTCCTTTGAGCTCAGGAACAGGCTGCTGAGAGCTAAAGCAATTTTCTGTGAAGAGTTTTTCATGAAGATAATAAACTTACTGGCCCAGCAAAAAAAGAAGAAGGAGAAGAAAAACCAAGGATAAGGTGACGCAACACCTAAGAGCCTTGGAAACAAATGGTGACTGGCAGGAGCCATCTCCGTGGGATGAGGAAGCCGGAGCCAGAGGATGTGGCTTAAGGAATGAATGGTGGGTGAAAAAGTGAAGGAAGGGAGCAGTCTCCTTGTCTCCTGGGGCTCCGGAGTAAAGGAGAAAGGGTGCTGGGGAGGGTCGTGCCAAGTGTCAAACGGGAGCCAAGAAGAGAGTCAGTGTCGTCATTCACGGAGGGTAACGGACTCCAGGAACGGAAGAGAACGAGGCTCTGGGCAGCCGGAGGTCCTTGAGAATCAGGAAGGAACGGGCTGTGACCACGGAAGGAGGAATTCCCATGTAAGAATTCAGGATGGATGATGCTATGAGACCCCAAAATCTGAGGAAGAGGACAGGTAGAGATCCAAAGACATGGATCAGAAAGCACACCCAAGCACTGGCTTCTCTTTTTTTCTCAACAAGGGGGAAAAAAAAAAAAAAACCCACCAAAGTTTTACCTCTTCAGGAGCTCAGGGGTGGGAAGGCATCTTGAGGAGAGGGAGGGAGGTGTGTCTTGCGGTGTCGCCCCTCCCCCATAGCTGTGCCTCTGATGTTCTTGGGTCTTGGACTGAGAACGTTCACACAGTGGCTGGCCTTTGCCACCGTCACCACTGTACGGGGCGGTCGTGGGTATTCCCGTTTCACAATTGCAGCCAGCTGGGCCTCAAGTAGGAAGTGCCAAGTCTAGGAGGGTGCCTAGCCATACCTGCCAAATGAATGGGCTACATAGACTCCACTCTCCAGCTCTTTACACCTATGTGTGATGCTTCTTTCAACAGAAGTTTTGCTGGCGAGTCTGTTCACATGTAGTCTTGAATCATCAATAAGCTCAAAAAAAAAAAAAAAAAAAGTCACCATATGAAAAACACAAAAAGTGGCTGGACAAGGAAGTGCCAGGGCTACTGTATTTACTCCAAACAGAAAGGCTACTTGCCTGGTTATGACTGACTGGGAAATGAGGTTTAATTGGACAAAGCCCTTGAAGCTCCCAAGTCTAGCACACTTCCAGCAAGGACCTCCCCGGAGTGCAGGAGCATTGGAACTGACGTGTGCTCAGTTTCAGTTTTACCACGATTACTATCCGGATGAAAATTCCTGCCAAAACATTTCACCGAACGATTTACAGAAGACTTTCCAAGGCTCTAACTGAAGGGCGGCAGCTGATGTCAGTGTGAGCGTGCTCACACTCACCAGTTCACCCGGCTGAATAAGAAAGAAGTAACCAACGGTGTCTTTGGGAACCCTGCAGGTTCTTCATAGTTGTAAGTCAAAATCTAATGTGTGTTCTTCTCACCATTATGCCAGCAAAAGAGGATTGTGCAAATAATAAAATGTCACGTAGTGTACAGATAGGACACTGGACTCACAAGTTCCTGTGGGCAGGTATTTAACTTTCCCCAGTGGTCATTTCAGAGAACTGGACCAATGTTTGGTACACAATGCGGGGTAAAAATTGCATGTTGAATTGAGTCAAACTGCATTAACATTACAGGTGGTTTTTTTTTTTTTTCCTCCTAGAGCTGAGCAGAGAACTGTCCCTGGAGGATGCTATGTGCATGAACACTCTTAATTCATTATTGAAGTTCTGGATGAATTATTAATCCCGGAGAAAAATCCATAGCCGGAGTTGTCTGTCATTGCCGTGGGAGGATAATGGGTAGTAACCCATTTAGGTAGTTTTCCTACATCATCACCCCCTTTTCCCTCCTCTGGTCTCAGATTTTGCTGCCCCCCAAAGCTGTGGCTGTCATTCTCATTCTGTCCCTGATTTATGGTTTGACCTCGAGATGAGTCACTTAATCTCAGTTTAGTACTTGTTTCCCCGTCAGTGAGAGCCAAGGAGGCCTGGCTGTGCAGCTAACCAGGCCTAAAAACTGGCTGTGTTACTCAGTGCCATCCATCATTTCTGTAAGGCCAACGGAAATGAATCACAGACACAAAGCCCCAGTGGGCTTCCCCAACTCCTACCAAATGAGCCCTTTGGGGTGGCTAAGTCAGTGTAGAGTGCAGTGCAGGGGAAAAGAGGGGGAGCTGGTGATGACTGCCCTAAACCCGAAGGGGAAAGTCTGGCCACAGAGGGCAGGGGCAGAGTAGAGACACAACGCTGGCTGGAGTGGCTGTGAATAGCTTGCACCCTCGGAGAGAACCCACCAGCCTCTGCTTTTCGTAGATAAACATGAAAGACAGGATGTGTGCTCTCCAGCCCTTGGCACTTAAAATCAAGTGAACTTACACACACACACACACACACACACACACACACACACACACACACACACCATAAAGCCTACAGGAGAGATGTGAAAGAGGACCACGCAGTGTGTCTCATAGAGTGGTGAGTGATAAAGGATGAATTGCCCAAAGAGCAGAGGCTGGGGTGGGATTCCCATACCTTGACTCCTTGTACCCTAAGTCTGTTTTCCCCAAGGAGTAAGAAGATCCACAGAGATGAAGGCCCACATCCTTATGAGAACAATATAGAAAGGTCCAGGGTAGATATCACACCTTCACTACAACAGAATTAAGAGAGGACCACAGAGTATGATCCATTGTCATAGCTGTGGTCATAGCCCCGAGAGGGGCACAGGACAGTTGGAAACCTTGCAGGCACTGCATTAGCTAACCAATGTTTAGAACAGGGGCCCCTGCTAATCAGAGGGCAGACTTGAAATGTGTCCGCATTGTCTTCCTGGGCATGTTTATATGCAGGGTTCTCCAGGCACCAAAAGAATGCCTTTGAGTCGGCATCAGCTTGTAGCTCAGCTCATAGCATCGTCTAGGTAACAGCAGGAATTGATGGGCACTTCCATTACACATAAAAGCCTCTAACATTTTATGTGCAATACTGTAAATCTTATCTGTAGCATCCAATGTGACTGATGAGACAGGTCCTCAGCGCAGCAGAGTATCTCAAGAATCTCACGTGTAACAGTAGTTTAAGAATCTTTGTTTGCTGACAGTATTTATAAGCTACGTGAGCCATATTAGAAGTCAATAAATATGCAATATCATAAAACATTAAAATCATAAACAGTGCTTTGAGAGAAAAGGTAATTTCTCAATGTTTAAAAGGGACAAAAAGAAAGCAAATAATATACTTCATAAAAGAACAATCCAGGGGCTGGGCAGGCGCCTTAGTCACTAACACTCTTGCCACACACACACACATAAGGACCTGTGTTTGACCCCCAGAACCCACATAAAAAAGCCAATCACGATGGCCCACTCTTTAACGCTAGCGCCAATACCAAGATAGATATATCCCTGGGCCCTGCCATTCCTCCAGTGTATCCTAGTCAGGAAGCTC